ATTAGCGTTGGAGCCCGGACCTCATCCAAGATTTCACAAGTGTTAGTCCAGGGCTCCGTTCCGTCAACCACGCGGCTCGTGTCCAAGAATGGGGTTTGTCCTGGAAAGACATTTAAAGGCTTAGGATAATCCAGGATGAGTCAAACTGGGCATTTATAGTATGATTTTTGACCTGTTCATCATAACACTATTTTCCTAAAAGTGTTAAGAAAAAAGGAGGTGAATGATGGTCCCCCCCCCCCCGTCAAAAAACCATCTGCGGTTTGAAAAGGTACTCCTAGATTTTATCATTATAATCATTTTTCTATTTCCAGTTAGCAGTATGCTTCCTTTCATACGATAGTTTCTGCACAAACCACTGTTTTCTTTTCACCAGATTTCCTAAGGCCTGCTTGGCATTCGCTGGCATTTTGCTCCTCTTTAAGGGTGGGAAATTTTCTCTTTCGGAGGGAGATAGGTTTTTCCATTAGTGCCTATTCATTTCATTTTCATTTTCTCAGAGAAAAACAATCATGTTCATCACTCTGTCGTCATGGAGATTTCACGTCTCCAGAAGAAACCCAATTGTGACTTTTCTTTGTTAATCCCACACTGGATGTGTGAGCTTCCTTGTTTGGATCACTGCAGCCCAGGGGGAGAAGCCATTCAGACAGGTGCGGCGCGGTTCCTAACCCACGGCGGGCAGGGGGGCCCGTGCAGGGGGCTGTCCAGGGGCGCTGGGGAGCGGGGAGAGTGGGCGCTCAGGCCGTGGTTCCTGATTGGACAGAGGAAGAGCTGGGATCTAACAGCCTAGCAGGCACTCGGCTCTTACAGTGCCGTGAACTTAGCTCGGTTCCACCCCACCTCACTACCTTCCTTGCACACCCGTCACCCTGTGTCTGCGCCACCCGCCATGGGACCACTGTCTGCCGAGTTGTCCACACCCTGATTCTGCCTCCCTGTGCCTGCAATCCTGACTTGTTCGAGCAGTGCCCACCGCTCAGTGCATCCTTTCTTTTCCCCTTCTGGCCCTCTGGTCTTCCCTCTGCTTCACTGCTGGCCTACAGTCTCCTATGTTGCCGTTTCTCCCATCTGTGGCCATCTTCCCGCTCTCCCCGTCGCCGCTAGAACAGTGAGGGCACAGAGCAGGTATAAAGCAAATCTTTGCTGAACACCTGAAAGACCTAAGAGTCTTCTTGATAAGCAAATCCGATCATGTCACTTCTCTGCTTAAAATCCCTCCGTGGTCCCCACTGCTTTTAGAGTAACATCCGACCTCTTAGGTCGGTCATTCAAGGCTCTTTGCGGTCTTGCCCGCACCACCTCCCGTCAGTCAGCATTGGCATCCCATGACCCTGCCGTCCCCAGCCAGTGACTCAGTTTCCTGGGTGATGCCTGTGTTAAGTGTGGTGATTGACAGTGACCTCCAGAGTCAGACTGAATGTGGTCTCATTCCAGCTCTACCAAACAGCTCTACTGCCACCGGGATGTCCTTAACCTCTCTTTGCCTCAGTTTCCTCATCTGTAAAATGAGGCTCATGGGATCACCTACGAAGACTGTTATGAAAATTAAATATGTGACTATAGGTCAAGCACTTAGGTCAGTGCCTGGCACGTACAAATGCCGCATTACTGTCACCCTGGGATGATTATGAGTGTAGTTGCTTAATCATATGCCTCTTCATTCTGCCTGGAACACCTTCCTTCACTTTTACCTGATAGATCCTCCACGCCCTGCAGGTCCCAGTCCCAGTATCCCAGCCTCTCTGAAACCAGCTTCTGCGGCTGTGCAATGTTAAAAGCTTAAGTTGTGAGGATCAGAATGTGTGGTTTTAAATCCTGCTTCTACAACTCACTATTTTGCTCTGGTCTCAACTGGCCAGGCTGTGGTTTTCTTATCTATAAAATTAGGAGAGTAAAATAGCTCCTACCTTGTTGAACTTGTCAGGGAAAAAATAATAAGTGTGTAAAGACATACACTAGCATATCCTAAATACTTCATTTAAATTCGCTGTTTTTATTAGCCGCCTTTATGAGCTTTTTATCAGGAACTGGCCACTGTATTATTATAATTTTTCTAGTCGTTTCTCTCAGCTGCTAGACTGTGAGTTATCTGAGTTCAGGGACAGGGAATTTCTTCATCAGTAGATCACAAGCACTTGATCCATCATTCAGTCAATGGAACGGACGCGAATTTAGCTGCTTTGTCAATACCTGTAACCATTGCCCACGTTGCTTTAGGAGATTTAAGAGGACTGTGCTGGTAAGAGAAGATGTCGGGAAGTAAGCTTCCCTCGGGGAGGCCTGTTTCCCCTCTTTGGCAGGTACTGAAGACCGGAAGTTAATGGGCACTACACCGTTTTGTTTCGGCCAGTGGTGACCGGGGGTGGGGGAGGACGCCCGCCCAGGAAGGACTGGAGCTGACCCCCAAGCCATGGCGTTATCAGTGGGATTGACCACATCATAGTGGTTCTTAAACAGGGTTGTGCTGGCGAATATTTAAAAACTGTTCTCCAAGAACAACATAAAGCCCTGATTCGTAGTGCTTGCTGATTACCGTGGTGTAAACGCTCTCACCAACACCGCTGACAAGTATGACCACGGTGGTATTAACCAACTCCCACAATTCCGGAACATTTATCAGCCGGCCAATAATGAGCCAGTCCATCACCCCACCATGTAAGCTACTTCTCACCTCACTTTTTTCTCTCTGTAAAATACGGCCCTGTAACGTGACCACCTTGTCTCCAAATAGAAATACCACGGCAAGTGGGGTCCAATGTGAAGGCACCATGGGGACGGTGGTGTTTTAGCAAAGCTGCGCGTTCTCCCGATTATTCGGAGGCCCTCCCTCCCTCCCTCCACGGGCTGTGTTTGTCCTTGGGCCAGGAGCTGGGCTGATGTCTTCTCTCGAACACCAGCCTGCCCAGCATTCTGCTCGGAGCGGTCTGTATAGTTTCATCCTCTCAATCAGGGTTATGCTCTCCGCAGCAGACTGACTCAATTAGCCTTTCATTCCAGAGTCCAAATGTGAGTCAATTCTGAGGTTGTTAAGCAAAATGAGTCTGGTGGCAGTAGCCTTGCGCGGAGAGACAGTAACCCCGCATCACGGGGCTGTTCAGTTAATAGTCTGCTGGAGAGACCACGAGACATGGGGGACATGCAGACAGGGCGCGCTTTCTTTCGGGCCGGGAGCCCAGGGCTGCCGGGTCAGGGAGCGGATCCGGTCGTGTGCAGAGGTGGAGCCTGAGATGCCTGGACCACAGTGGGCTTTTGCAAAGATAGAAGCCCAGTGCCGCTAGATCATTAACTTTCATGCCCAGGAAAATACTTCTGAAATTAACACTCATTTCAAGCTGGATGCCGTTGGAGCCAGCTGAGTAAGCCGGAGCCTCCTTTAGGGATTTCCTCTGAAAAATAAATCTTTTAGCCAGGCTACAGAAAACGGCCAGGTTTTATGTGCTTCAGTGTGTTCAATTAGAGTCAGAAAACACCAGCGAGGCTCAGACTGTGGGAGAGACGCATGCGGGCGCACACAGATGGGCGTGCCCCAGTCTGAAACGGAGGGTTCTGCCAGTCCCTTAGCTTCAGCACGTGGCCCTGTCTGGGAAGCCCTGTACGGGGCCTGTCCGAGGAGTGTCAGGTGCAGTGCAAAGGAAAGAAAGCCAAGCTCCGGCACCTGCCTTGGGGATCCACAGTGGTGGAACCAGGCACATGACACATGGAGCTCACAGATCAGCACGGATGGGGAGGCTCCGGCGCGGCTTGTTTACACGGGTTCAAGGAGAGACCGATCTCACACAAACATGGGGCAGCCTGGGCGGTGGGCTGTGAACTTGAAGGGTGTCGTCAGACCTTTGACCCCCCTGCTACTTTAAGTCCCGACGAAGGGAACCAGCTGTGCGCTTCCTGTAGGCCTTTTACCAGCCTTGGCGACTGCCACACGCACCACCTTGCTCTGTCTGCTTGTTTACACCATAAAATATGCTAAGTAAATACAGTTTCTTGGATGGAAAGAAACACAAATAGCACCGGGTTTCTTGGCTGCCAACTTGGAGGAGCGAACGAGAAGAAAGCTGAGACAACCGCCCATTGTCTGCCGTAATTGCCGGAGAATTGAAATTCTCTGGCAATCCATTGTGTTCCTCACACAGAAACGGAGCTGTTGTCTGCCGCCATGACCTCAGAGGGGCCCGGCTCCCGGGCAGGATTTCTCCAACAATATCCTCTTCAGATTGAAAAACAGCCAGCTGGTCACACAGAGGCCTCTTCCTCCCCAGACCGGAGTGCCTGGGACCCCCTGGCCCCTGCTGGGTGTCTGCACCTTCACCAGCACCCAGGGCGGCCCCAGACTGCAGGCAGATGCTGCATTTCGATGAGGGGACCCTTCTGGCACCACCTCCAGCCGCAGGCCCACCCCACCCAGTCCGAGACAGTGAAGCCGTGGACAAAGAGAACACCCCTGGTCCCACTTGCCTCTCCCTTCAGTTCCAGAAAGGCAAGCTCCTCCTCACTGTCACGTGGCTGGAATAATCACTGACCCCTCGGGCTGGTGGATGAGATGACTTACAAGACAGATACATGTAGTTTCAAAGCCAGTAGGAATTACGGGAGCAGATGGGCTACAGGAGCCTATTTGGATGCCAGGAACATGTTTCTGTAGAAAGTAAATATTTTCCCAGTGTGGATCTCCATTGAGTGTGTAGAGAAGCATATTTCCTAAAGATGCAAATAAGTCGCGTCAGAAATAAATATTGGATGGAAACTTCAAAGCATCTAGATCTCTCCCGTTGTAGGCCCTGAAGACTTCTCTGCAAATAAGCAGACGCGCAGGTGGGCGAGGGCTGGGGGCGGGAGGGGGGGGCCGGTGTGAGACAAGATGCTAACATTTTAAGGCTTCACGTTTTCTATATTTGGGGGGGATGGAAAAAGGCCTATCAGCCAAGGAATAAAGAAACGTTATGTCTGCCTAGAGGCTTGGGATATTTTAAAGCGCCCTCCCTCCTTTCTTCCTATTGCAGATCTCGCCTTGCTGACTTTTTTACCAACTGCCAGCCGGAGTCCAGGGCCGTGAGCAGCTGCCTGAAGGAAAACTACGCGGACTGCCTCCTTGCCTACTCGGGCCTTATTGGTAAGAGCGGGGAGAAGCAGGACGGGAGAATTGTCTGGCTTACGAGTACTCGTGGCCTTGGTAACCTTTTACTACCTGGGAAAGGAGCGATCTCCCAGGCACCCTCTGGGGTCTAGATGTTAGGCTTCTAGGACTTGCCTGTAAAAAAATAAAAATAAAAAAGCAAAAACGAGGCCAGTGGACGCACACAAAGGCAAAGGCAGGAAGCAGGGGTTATTAAGGAGCAGAAAGACAGCAGTGTGAAGACCTGTGAAGTTCATAACTGACCTCATGAAACCAAAGTAGGAAAAAAGCCTGGTGAGAGAAGGGGAACGCAAGTCAAACCAAGGTAATCGTATCAGGGAACTTGGGAGAAAGGGGACTTGGAAGTCATTCATTCTGGGGAAATCAGAAAGGTTGTTCCCCAGAAATGACCCTTTGGAAAGAAACCCCTCCCTACTACTGGGGCCTTTCTCACTGTTGATATTCTTGGAAACTCAGCTCCTGGTGTGCGGGGGGTGATTTAGCCGACATTTTTTTTTTTTCTCCCTGAGAGCAGACATAGCAGAAACAGTACTTTTCTCTCTTCTAAGACCTGAGGTGTTAGGAGAACCAGGTGCTCAGTGTTCGGGAGGACAGGACAATTCCGCAAGGTCGCGGTGAGTTGGGAGAGAGCCAGGATCGAGGCGAATCGGTGGTGCCCCTGGGTGAGCATGGCAGGCGGCAGGACAGGCAGGCGCTCCAGGTTCCAGGGACTGCAGGGGCCTCCGTGACAGGGCTCCAGTGTTACGGCTGACATCCGAGAATGAACGCGTGGTGTAGGCTGTGGGGGGGAGAGGGGGAGTCCGGGCGGTCAGAGCGTGACGGCTCGGCCAGGGTGAGCGCTCCTGCCAGGCCCACGCAAATCTCCGTCCAGGAAGAGCCCCCACCTGAAGTGACAGCACCGACTGGGTTCTTTGTCACTGGAGTGCCTTCAGCAAGAGCCGCGGGAAAATCCACAGCGGTCCTCCATGCAGGGATATGACTGGTGTCTGTGTATTTGTCCCCCCGTTTTTGAAAGGGTACCTGTGCCCTGATGGGTGATACCTTCCACCAGTTGCTGACCATTTTCTTTTTAAGGTTTTATTTATTTGTTTTTAGAGAGAGGGGAAAGGAAGGAGAAAGAGAGGGAGAGAACCATCGATTGGTTGCCTCTCACATGCACTCCAACTGGGGATCAGCCCGAAACCCAGGCATGTAGCCTGGCTGGGAATGGAACTGGTGACCTTTCAATTTGCAGGACGGTACCCAGTCAGCTGAGCCACACAGGTCAGGGCTGTCGTTGACCGTTTTTATGGATATGTCCAATGAGTGTATCATCTTCCTTAAGTCAGTATTCCAAATTGGCATTTGCTCTTTCCATTTCTTAAGTTAGTCTGTCCCCAGGACAGATTACTTATCAACTATGGAATTACAGGTTTAACAAATAACAGGAGTAATTAAGGCATGCTCATTGTAGAACACTGAAAAGAGAGAGAGAGAAGCCCAAAGAAAACAGTATTAGGGATCTGCAAGTCCACTCCCAGATGTAATTGCTCTTAGCGCCTTAGCCCCTGTCCCTCCAGACACACATGCTCACTAAGTCAGCCAAGGGAACGGTCACCTGCCTGCGCATGATGAAATCCTCGGCATTGAAGGGAATGAGCGGTCAGGGCGATGCATTCTACAGACCAATATGCACTTCCCTGTGGGGTCCGGGTCTCTCCCTCCACGCTGACCATTGGGTTCTAATGTCTTTGAGGACAAAGCTTGCTCTAACTTCTTCCATCTGTCGGGGACCCACCGGGGTGCCAGGCATGCTTAGTAGCCGCATTTTAACCTGTTGGCTCAATTCCTTTCTGACCCAGAGATAGGAGCTCCCTCTCTGTTATGGGTTCAAGTTCTCATGTCAAGGTATGATGACCTGGACTTGAACTCAAGTCAGTCAGGAATGTGAAGCAATGAAGATGTGCCCTTGGCGCAGAAGAGGTTACAAAGAAATGGTTTTCTGTTTGTGAATCACGTGTATCCTGTGGATCACTGACCACTCGTTACTTCTTCCTTCCGCAAAATACACAAACACAGAAGGCTTCTTGGCCTGAGTAGGCATTGCCTGGTGCGAACCACCCAGGGGAAGACATTTGGGTTGTATTAAGTATAAAGGCATTGTTTATTTGTGCCAACACAGAACTCATCAGAAAAACCATAAGCAAGGGGAGATGTAGGCAAGAGAGACCACCCAGTATTTCTGAGGACTTTTGAGGACTGTTGAGACAATGCTCTCGGAGCCATCAGCTTAGAGAATTTCCACTGTGTGCTTCCAATCCCCCCTTCACGACTTAGAAGACTTTATTTAAATCAATTGGTGTCTGGCGAGCAGAGGCCTCATTATATACATTCGGGGTGTGGGGTAACACGTACGGAGAGCTTTGAAGCTTCCCTTGTTTCTCTGAAGAAGCCATTTGCTTCTGAGGGAAGTAGATTCCAAGTCCTAAAAGGATTTTTTAAGATATGTAAAACCAGTTCTATCTATTTATGAAGATTAATGACATTTTCATGAAAATGCAAGGGATTTGGCAACTCATGCATTCAAAGTTAATTCTCTCCTACTCCATGACATGCATACCATTTGTGCAGGCAAAAAAAAAAAAAAATACCCTGAGTGCAGCTCAAGGAGTTCCGTTATAATTTTTTAAGTAAATGTGTAAATTACTTTATGTGCTCAAGATAAATGGCCAAGAAAATGCACTGCTTAACATAATTTCCCACTCAGCAAACACAATGCCAGTAATTATCTGCGGTGTATCGGCTATCAGGGGAACATTTGTTCCTTTTCAGGATGCGGGATCCGTATCATCACAGGAGAACCCAACACCTTGTTTTCACTCTTCCAGGCACCGTCATGACCCCCAACTATGTGGACTCCAGCAGCCTCAGCGTGGCGCCCTGGTGCGACTGCAGCAACAGCGGGAACGACCTGGAGGAGTGCTCCAGGTTCCTGAACTTCTTCAAGGACAACACGTGTCTCAGTACGTTTTTTACAAAATAGGAAACAAGCACATTTTTCTCTGGGAGCCCAAGCCCTGCTCCCGTATTCCTTGTGTTCATTCTTTCTGGAGTCTGCCTTCTCCCTTTCTCTCTCTCTCTCTGTCTCTCTCTCTCTGTCTCTCTCTCTCATTCTTGGTGCATCCAGCTCCTTTGGGCCTCCCTGGGCAATGCAGCGGGGGACGCCGCAAGGGGTCAGCGGGGCACTACCAAGGCTGAGACTCCCAAAAGCCCAAGCAAGCAAGAGATTCCAATAACTGAGGGTCTGTTTGTGGGAAGGAACACTTCTACCCACAGATCAAATTTTGATCTTGGCAACCAGCGCCAAGGCTGTTCCAATTTTTTTTAATCTGAGTGCAATATACAATGTGAGATGCTCTGACAAATTAGGTGGGGGTAGGCCCCCAAGGGCTCTCTGAGAAAAATTGGAAGTTAACATCAATAGCCCCCATGATGTTCCGGGTTGGCTCAGAGGAGAAGCAACCATTCTCGAGTGGGAGAAACTGGCTCTGCAACCAGGAGCCGCTCAGGAAGGTTGGTTATCTCCGGAGGCGGAGATGAGCCCCGTGGGCGGAGGCGGCTTGGGCTTGGAAATAGTCCCGGTTATTAGTGCAGTCTCCTTTAGGGGAGTGGGGAACACACTTCCCAGTGGGGGAGGATGCAGAGAGAACACATGCAGGTGTCAACAGCGCTCTTCAGATGAACTTCAGAAGCACTGTGCCAGGCCTCCAGTCCACCCATAGAGGTGTGCATGGTCCAGGTGATGAGTCAGCACCTCACTCACATTTTGTGGTGGCCACGGTGAGTGTACTGGGTGCCTTCGGTTCGCTCCACAGGGAGTCTGGTATATACACTATCTCATTTGCTGTGCTGTGCACAAGAATCCGAGGAGATGGCAGGATTATCATCTCCATTTCATGGCTGAATGAATGGCTGGTCTTCACACAGCCCATCCATGCCAAAGACAGGATCCAAAGCCTAAGTTCCTTCTTCCACAGCTCCCTGTCCCCTGAGGGCTTTTTGTCACACCTGCTGCAGAGGGCTCTTTGGACAAGAGCGTGTACCTGAACAGCAGGGCCCAGGTACAACTTCCGAGTGGCAGGTGCAGACCAAGTTCCTAGGAACCAGGGTTCAGCTGCCCCTCCGAACGCCCATCCTTCAGTGGCGGTTTCTCCATGCGCTGCTGCAGTATGGGGGTGCTGGTGTCTGAAGGGTTACCTGACCACTGGCCTGTGCACGCACTGGAAAAGCTTCTCCGTGTTGCTTTTCTAAAACCTCCCCATCGTGTCCTTTGTTGAGAAGGCAAATCTAAATGACTTGCTCGCTAGAGGTTCTGGAGTCAAGTGGCTGTAACCAACTAGTTAAGACAAAAACAAGCTTTTGGACGCTTAAACAAAATTCCGACCCACAAAACTAGTCTCGAGCATGGCGTCGTTTGCCAAGACGTTGGGCATGCTATGGGCCTCCAGTTGGGTCTTGACTTTTTTTTTAAAGTGTATATACCAGTTCTCCTCTTTTTCACACCCTGCATGTTCTCCTGGCAGAATACAAGGTTTAATGAAGATAAAGCAATGACAATAGAGGTCAGCGTGAGAAAAGACATTCATGCTGGCTGAAGAAGCGCTCTCTCACAGACAATCTAAAGTTGTCCCTGCTTAATGACATTTTGGTGAAAGGGAGAATAGTCTGGCATCTAATTGCTAATGACTTTTCAATAAAAATAAATGCATTTGGTCTTCAACAGGGGCGAAAGCCAGCCAGAATTTTTTACAGTCCCTCCATTTATCCTTTGTTGAAAAGGGGCACAGCATACCAAAGACACAGTGCTGTAGGTTCCATCTCTGGCAAAGGCCCCGGAGCAGAAGGGACTGGAATTTGTACATTCCAACCCAAATGCAATAACCCAGTTCTGCTCTCTTCAAATGAACCAGCCCTCCCCCCAGACTCCCCATCACGAACAGCACTCCAACCTATTGTGTACGTATGGCTATTGCTGGGGGGGGGGGGGGGGAACGGTGATTTTTACATCAACGTGCAGGACAGATGTCAGGGGCAGAGAGGAGAAAGAAGGAGCTGAAGGTGGAGATGACTGTTACTGTCACTCACACGTCTTTCCTTAGATGCCACCGTCCCTTCCCCAGACCACTTCATCTAAACTGTGTTCCCCGCTCCTGCCCAGGGCTCCCTGTACCCCTCCACCTGCTTCCCCTTTCCCTGAGCCCTTCTTCCCGCCTAATGCAGTAGAGGTTTTACTTTTATCTCCTCCCAGCCAGAACGCCACCTCCACGAGGGCAGGGCCTTCCGTGTTTCACGGCTCCCAGTGCTCCCTGCTGCGTCCCCAGTGCGGAGCCGTGCCTGGCCCGCAGTAGGTGTTCCGCTGACGTTTGAATGAGCGAATGAGCCTGTGAACAACCCCCACTGCACCGCACCCCACCCCACCCCATGTGCTAGTGCGAGCACCCGGAAAAGCACAGGTGGCCTCAATGAATGGCAGAGGGTCTCCTGAATCTGTCTGAGGAAGGAAAGGGATAACCGTGCTGTTCTGTTGTTCTCATTGCTCCCGGTCGGTCAGGGAGACCAGTCCCCCGTGTACCTCTCTCTGCCTCCCCCGCCCGCTGGGCCGTGTAACAGGGCTAGACGGGTAGAAAGCATGTGTATTCATTCGAAGCTGTTTCTTACAGCCTTAAACATGTAAAGTTGTTAGAAAACAAGTTCCCAATTTTCTGAACTTAAAGGATAACAATTTTAGAAGAAAATGTCATTTCTAAGAGGAACATTAGGCTTAAATTATTCTGTCTTGTGTATCGAGAAATGCCAGCTAAGAGTCATGTATTAACAATTTGCACATTCAGGTCCCCAATGGAGGAGTTTGATTTCTTATACAATGAATATGAAATAAAGAAATTCCTAAATCCAGGCCAAATCCCCGAAGACCTGATTAAACTGTTTTTTATGCATCGGGGGCGGGGGGGGGAGGGGAACGCCACAACTGATTTACTCTTGCCATGCAAAACAATCTAATCCCATGAACTTGTAATAAGCTTTTAAAATTTTACATTTTAAACTTTTCATATAAGCAGGGCTGTTCCTATCTAATTATGCAGATTTTGTTTAGAAGACTGGGAGCAGAGAGGGGGAAAAAATAATCTTACTTAAATTTTCACTAGGCTGCTGCTGAGGTTCTGGGTGGATCTTTCCTTTCAAGAAAGCGGTTGCGGTGGTTCTGCGAGCAGCGCCGCCTCGGAGCAGGCGTTCCGTGCCGCCGAGTCACAGTTTTTGCTGTTTGATTTTCACTCCCTGACAAGTCAATGTGAATGCCACTGAGTGACATTGGTCTCATAATTAGGGGTGTTGCACTTTTTTTTTCAAAGCACTAATGAGTTTGCTTTTAGTATAGAGTTGTGACAGAGCGCAAAGGTTTCCTTGGAAGATGGCCCAGTGGTTGTGACCCCAAGTCACGGGTCCAGGGCTGGGTTTCAAAGGGCTCAACTGATGAGTGTTTCCAGGCAAGGACCTGGCTCACAGAGAGGAACACAGTAAGTGCGGGTTGCAGCTGGAGCATGCAAGTGTCCAGCTCAGTGTTTAGTGAATGAATTGAATTTTTGGATGTCTGACCCAAGGGCTGACTCTCCCTCCACACATGGAGGGCAGACAGTTGGATGGGTTTCGGTCGGAAAAGTCCAGTGCTATATTCAGAGTTGCTAGTGCGCCTCTCTGGCTTTCCGTAGCGTTGTGTGGCACATTTGCCGCTTGACTTTGAAATGGGGTTTCCTCCTGTTTCACTGCAGAAAACGCAATTCAAGCTTTTGGCAATGGTTCCGACGTCACTGTGTGGCAGCCAGCCCTCCCCGCTCAGACCACCACTGCCACCACCACCACAGCCTTCCGGGTCAAGAACCAACCCCTGGGGCCGGCAGGATCCGAGAATGAAATCCCCACTCACGTTTTACCACCTTGTGCAAACCTACAGGTAAGAGTGGGGCCAAACTCCCTGTTGGAGCTCACTTGAGCGGGCCACAGACCCATTTGCTTTAGAGATAGCTGGCGAATGATGAATCTTAAAGGTACATTGCTACCACGATGAATGGAGATTGGGAAGTGATGTAGAGTGGAGAGGAAGATGGACTTTGGAACTAATGGCCATTTAGGAGGGGTGTGGCTTTGGCTGAGGCTCTTGCGTCGTCTTTCTGCCCCTGGCGTCTTCACCTGCATGCAATAAGGGGGTAGGTGACTGGGCACGTGGATCCTTAAGGATTTTATCTGTAGGGCCGTCAGACTACGCTGGCTCTTTTAAAAATTTATTATGCTTATTCCATGTTCTCTGCAAAGCAGCAGCATCTTGAAAAGAGAGGAGCTTTTGGTTTTGTCCCCATCGCTGCCACTTAAGCCGAACGATGTAACTGTATTGCCGGGTAAACCAGAGACAGTGCTACTAGTGAAGCCTCAGCTCGAACCTAGAGTCCCGTAGGGGTTTGTCGTTCAGGGAGCAAAAGACAAGGCTCTTCCGCAGTGAGAGGAGCTCCAAGGAGCTGCCTGCAAACCCTGCGTGTGCACAGTCGTGGGAGCATGGCCCGGAGACTTCCCTGGGGTCGACCCAGATCTCCAGGGCCAGGACCACCCCGTACTCACAGGGGGTTTCTTGACTTGCATCAAAGCGGGGTGTTTATTCTGCCTTCTAATGGATTTTTCCATGGTAACGAGTATTCGGCTGTTCGGCAAGATGTTGCATACCTATACGTTCACCAGGTATTTTCACACGCTTGACCTCTTGGAGCGTTGCCCTCTGGCGGCTGTGGGAGAGATGCTCTTGTGACAGTCCCGTCAGCCTTGCTTTTCCATTTGAGGACACGGAGACTCTCAGCGAGGTAACACTCGAGATCGGGATCGAGCCTGCGGAGCTGGCGAGTCACAGAACCGGCGCTGGGTCCCCAGGGGCCTCGGGTTCTTTTCTGGCTCTTTCTGTGCTGTGGGCTAGTGGTGACGACATGTTGACCTCCGCCTCCTGCTGTGCTGTGGAAGGGGACATTGGCCAAGTGTGCCGTCACACTCGGCACTGAAGTACCTCGTCCCCTCCCTCCCCTCACCCCCTGCTGAGGATCAGTCCCACCAGAACGCTCCCCACAGCCTTCTTTTGCCCATTGCCACCTGGCCCCACAGGCACTTCGCCCCCTTTCTGGAGCGTGTCGGGGCAGTTTGTCCACTTCCGATTGGCTCAATGTCTTCTCATCCCTGTGTCTCTCCTCTCCTTCGTGGGCACCCTCCGTGCTACGTATCTGAGCTTTGGTCTGCATCCTCTCTCCTCCTGGGCCTCCACACCTGGTACAAACCCTCGGTCCCACAGCTTCCGGTCAGCCACAAGTTCTTCCTACTTCTAAAGCATTTCTTGAGCCCATCCATGTCCGAGGAATTGTGCAAAACACACGCCAGACTGGGGGGAAGCTTGGCGGTGTGGGGAGGGAGGGGCACGCACTGCGGCGTCCTGCAGCAGGAGCCTGAGGTTCAAGGCGGGGAAGTGACTTACCCGTGCAACGTCCCCCAGCCAGGCGGACGTGGGTGGAGAACCAGACACAGCTTTTCGGAGGCCGGGTCTCTTCTTCAGCTCTGGCCGGTGCTCAGCATCCTGCTTCCTCCAAGCTTCCCCTTTTGTACTTGCTGGGTGCACTCAGATCCTAGCGTCGGCAGAGACCAGTGGGCAGGCGAGGGATAGGTGCTGCTATCCTAAGGTGCCAGCAGTGGGCCAGAGGTGCTCCTGAGCGGCAGAAGAGGCGCACCTTGCTGCAGCCAAACCAGGGTCTCCTGTGCTCGGGTCTCGATGCACAGAGCATAACTACAGAGGTGGCGTTCAGCCTGTGTGTTAAGCTCCTTCTGTGTTTTGGGACCTCTGTGAAGATGGGCATTCAATGAAAATTGTGTCCTCAGTATACATCAGCTAGTAGGCATGATGGAGCTTGTCAGCATGCTTGGAAGGTCAGACTAAGCTGATGGATGCTATCGCAGAAGAACTGTCATTACTGGAAAACCGGGGAACTGGAGTTTCCCTTGGGAGTAGGAGAGGGGCCTGTCAGCCACACGGAGGGGTTCTTTCCCCCCTACACCTCCCGCCCCGGTGCCTGACTGCTGCTTCCCGTGGCACTGTGCATGGCTTGGCCACACAACATTTTGCTTCCAACACAGATCTGCCCTCCCTGCCCAGAGGCCTCGGTATGCTGCAGGGTTGCCCTGGCAACATCAGAGGACACACCAGCTCTATTCCCAAGAAACAGAGCCTTTGCTTCCCCTGTGTTAGCGATGGGACCTGGGCCTCATCAGTCGAGGGGCAGAGTAAAAGGAAGGCCTGGTGTTTATGTCAGGGCTGCCATCCGCGTTCTCGGCAGGGAGGAGAAGGAGGCATGGCACTCCGAGCAGGGAGGTGACGGCCACACCGGTCTCCCCAGTGGCACACACACAGAGCTCACATCTCTTGCAGCTGAACAGCATTTCCCTTGCCGGGAGTCGTTCGGGGTCCTCAGCACCTCGCCCTTCCCCCTCAGCTGACTCCTGCTTTCTGCACACGGGAGGTGGGGGCGAGGCAGCTAAGCCTGTGTTCAGACCCAGGCCCTTGTGCTCGCCGGCATCAGGGCCTCCCCAGGCCTCAGCTTCCTCCTCCGTGGGACCAGAGGACGGCCTGGCTGCTAGAGTTGGGAGGGTTCAAACGAGGCCATGCCTCAGTGCTTAGGGCACAGTGAAGGCTCCAGGATGGCGCGTTACAAATGTCACGTGTGATGCCTGATTCCCCATCAGTCAAGCAGACGGTGGTGCTGTGTCTTGCATGGGGAGGGGCGTATTATGCTAGGGAATCTGTCATGAGTTAGTACCAACAGGTGTGTAAGGTATTTCATTTTTTTTTAAACACTTTACCTGCTTCGTGCCCTTTACTGCTTACAACATCCTTCCCTTTTAGAGACGAGGCAACTGAGGCAGGGAAAGGCCAGCGACTTAACTGCGCTCACACAGCAATTCCCAGGCACGGCTGGGGTTTCTGGCTCCGAAGCCAGGGTACGTTTACCATGCTCCACGGTGATGAACTTTTGCCTTGTTCTATGACCTTGGACCACCTGAGCTCTTTTTCTAAATTAGGAATGAACAGAAAGAAGGAAGTAAAAAAATAGAAAAAGAGGTCATGCAGCATTTGTCTCTCTGTGTGTCTGGCTTATTTCACTCAGCACAGTGTCCTCCAGGTCCGTGTGGGATCTGCCAAGGTTCACTCAGAGAGTAGAGTGGAGGTTACAGGGGGCCGGGGGTGGGGAACGGGAGGCGTTGGGCTTTAAAGGGTGCAAAGCCGCAGTAGTGCGGGGTGAGTAAGGCCTGGGGGTCTAACGTACAGCAGGGCGTACACTAAGTGTTGTGTACTTAGAATGTGCTGAGACAGTCGATCCTATGTATTCGCACATGCTCCCTCCAATGGTAACTATGTGTTAATTAGCGTCATTGTGGTAAACCTTCCACGATGTACCCATGTATATCAAAGCATCACCTTGTGTGCCTTACACATACACAATCTTTTTTGTCACTTATAACTCAGTAAAACTGCAGGGGGGGAAGAAAAGATGAGGAGGAAGAGGCTGCCCAGTTCTTCCTGAAAATGGCCATGTGAGCCACGGGACAACACGGAGCCCCTGTTTGGGCCGGATCGCTCCCTGTGGTCGCTCTAGGAGACAGGGTACGGGGGAGGGACTGAACGTTGGCCAGGACAGCTTCCAGCAGCTGGGTGATCTCTGTAGGATGAGTTGGATGGAGGACGGTGGAAAGAATCACCCAAGGCCAGAGGATCAGCCCGGGGATGAGCAAGTGGGGAGAGGCGGGCCCCGGCCCCTGGGAACGTGGTCCTGGGCACTACGCCAGGACGCGTGCTGTGGCACAGGGTCCCCAGGAGACTCATTCTCCCCATCTGTCCTTCCTGCGCCTGCCTGGCCGTCTCCAGATAAATCACCGTTTGCCCGTGGATCCTAGAAATACCTCAGAATACCATGTGTCCAGGTCACGTGTGTCGTTCCTCAAAATAGAACCAACTTCAACCAGCTCGGGACCCATTGGTAACAGATTTGGAGAAAGTCAAGTGTCTTTGGCAGCTATAAAGTTCACTTCCCTTGAGAAACACCTTCTTGTAATATTTTAAAATATACAATAATATGAGAACACTCTTGGGGACTTGAGTTTCTGTCTTAACATTTGAGCTAGATTTCCCCCTTGGAAGAGAAGAAATAAGAATAAACATTTTCAAAAGTCAGCCTCCAAGTGTAATTATCAACAAACCAAACACAGTTGTGTTTGGGGAAATGGGGGCCTCGGGTGGGGTGCCTATAAGGCTCGTCTGCAGTTTCTATGAAAGGTTCGGCTTTAAAAAAGGAAAGTTGATTGATCACTATGAAATGTCATGGAAATGTCCAAGCCGCCGGCTCCCCGAGGCGCTGAAATACCAGGGTTTGGGTAACCCGCCAAGTTCCCACGTCGGGATTAATTGGCAGTCGTATTAGCAACAGGCACGACACAGTGCTATTGTTGGCATGTCCCTCTGCCTCGGTCATCACTGGTCACAGGAGAAACAAAGAAATATGAAAAAGTCGACCAATGATTTCATCTTCTGGCCACTGGACTCGTCTGGTAGCTGGGAAAAGCTCAGGATATGGAAAGCAAATGGATTGTACTTGTCATTTATTTAAAGTACATATCTTGGGGAGGTTGTAAGTATTGGCAAAACCTCTATTTGGCATTACTGTCCGCCACTTCACTCTGGTGGCCGCCTCTCCAAGCGGCATTGGTGGGCTCCCGATTTCCATGGTCAAATAGGGCTATAGAGACTGAAAAATAGAGGCTCGGGACTGAGGCTGAGGACCCTTGAGAAGTTGAACGGCCTCTGCGCCTTTCCTTGAAAGAGGTGTGATGGGTGGTTGAAAGGAGGAAGGGAAGAGACCGGGGCCCACACTCAGAGCC